GGAGCTGAGCGGGGCGGAGCGGGGACCCGCACGGTCCTGCGGATGCTCCGGCGTCGGCGGGTGGAGAGGGGGGAGCTTCAGCCCGGCACCGGTCATTTACACCCGGCATCGGTCATTTACACCCGACACCGGGACCAGGACGGAGCCTCCGCCGCCAGCACCGGTACCGGCTCCGGTTCCGCTCCCCCGCTCCCTCCCCTCCTGGCACCGGCATCACTCCTTGGATCCCGGCATCGGGACGCGCCGGCCTCCTTCAGCACCGGCACCGGCTCTTCTGCCCCCGGCATAGGGTCCACTCCTCCCTCCGGCACCGACACACCGGTTCTCCCCCGGCACTGGGACCAGTCCGTCTCCCCGGCGACACCGGGACTGGTCGTCCTTCTCCGGCGCTAGGACCGACCCTTACCCGGCGGCACCGGGACCTCCCGTCTGTCCCAGGTACCGGGGGACCCGCGGGGAGGGAGCCGGGGCACCCCCAGACCCTCCCCAATAGAGCTGGGTGATGGAGGTTGGGACATGGGACAAACTGGGGGGTCCCCACCCCCGCGGACACGGCAGGGTCTCAGTGGATGGGGTGCAGGCGCAGGGTCAGTGGGGACCACCCATCCCACCACCCCCCCAGGAGCACAGAGCCAGGGGTCACCCGTGGGGACCCCTCCCCACGGAAGCCAGAGCAGGGAGGCAATGCTGTGTCCCCCCCTGGGGTGCGTGGGGCTCCCAGAGAAGGAGGAGGAGGAGGAGGAGGAGGAGTCGTGGGGACCCCTCCCCACGGAAACCAGCGTGGGGAGGCAATGCTGTGTCCCTCCCTGGGGTGCGTGGGGCTCCCAGAGGAGGAGGAGGAGGAGGAGGAGGAGGCAGCAGCCCAGCATGCGGCAAGGTAAGGGCTTTGAAGGTGAACCGCAGGCAGCGGCTTCTTGGCAGGCTCCAGGAGCTGAGGAGCTGCATGCGGCTTCCTTTTCCTTCCAAAAAAAAAAACAACAGGCGCCACGAGTTTCTTCTTCCCTAGTTTTATCTGAGGACCCTCGGATAAGCCTTCATCCGGTGGGCTCTCACAGAAAATCCCACCTTCCTTGGTGCAAGAGGAAAAATGCTGGAGCCCTTGGGACAGGAGCTGGGGACTGTCCCGAGGAGCCAGCCTGGCTGTTGGAGCCCTGCAGCCTGCAGCAAAGCATTTAGATGTGTCCCTGCTCCATGATGCCCACGGACGTGTCCATCACCCAGGAGCTCATCCCGGGGCTGTGCCCTCCGTGGAAACCCCTGCGTGGGGCTGGCGCTGGCAGTGCTCCTGCCCGCAGGATGCTGCCGGTTTGAATTAGGTCAGGCTTGGCTCAGCTCCCCGCTCCAGCCCCGGGGATTGATGATTTGTGGCAGGGACCCTGGGCAGGGGGAGGAAGGAGGTCTCACTGCGGCACCAAGGGGCGGCGGGGAGCTGAGGACTTGCCGTGTCACCGCATGGAGAACAGGTGTTTTGACAGCACCTTCCTTATGATCCACTGAGATCAGACGAGCTGGGTGTTGGGAAAAGGCTCCAAACAGACTCAAGGGACGGGTACACCTTCGGGGCACAGGTTTTCAGCCAGTGGAAGGAGCCACAACAGCCGCTGGGAGCCTGTGTCTCGGCGGCATCGTCCACCCAGCCTTTTCAGAAAGTGAAGCCTGTGCTAATGAACGTGATGGGTGAACTGGCTCCCCAGGGCCATGTCCTGGTGAAACCAGGGTTGAGAGCTCTACTGTGAGCTGTAAGGGCCATGCCACAAGGGATGGGAAGGTCTTGGGATGGCCCAGGCTCCCTTTGCTCCATGAGTTAGTAGCTGCTGCCAGCCTCTGTGCAGAGGAGAGATGGGCAGAGGAGAGGGACAGCTGAGACATGGGGGCGAAGTGAAGTCTGTAGCAGTAGAAAGGCTTAGCTCGCTCCTGGGACAGCACAGGGTGACGGGGAGGCTCTGGGACCGGGTGCCTGGGGGACCAGATGAGGTGCTAGGGCTGGCTGGCTCTGAGCATCCCAGCAGACACGGCCACCCTGGAGCCATTTGTGAAGTTCCAAAGTCTGCCTAGCTCCTCGCTCCCCCAGTGGCATGAAGTTCTGCTCCAGTATCCACCAGTAAACCCCTTGAGAAGGAGTGATGTGGTGTGGAAGCGGGAGCGAGACACGGAGCTGAGATCCTGTGCTGCTCTATCCCTTGCCCAAAGTTATGCCTGGAGGTTGCAGTGAGACTTTCTTCAAAGCCCCACGCTCCTTAATCACAGGATAATGCAGAGAGCTCTCCAGTTACAGCGCTAATAACCACAGCAATTTGGTTTCTGTAGCAGTATATTGTGGAGATAATTAGATGAGGGATTTCCAGCTCGTTTGGCCGGGTGATGAAAGCCTCCTCTGCGCCCAGGCGGAGCTGTGCCACCGTCCCCGCCAGCAGCACCAGCCCTCTGTTCCAGCCACCAGCACCTCTACTTCACTGGAGAGGGCTGCTGGAAGTGGACATTTCAACTAACTCTCCCTGAAATTAACTAAATTGTTGTGAAATGAACTTTTCACTACAAAAGCAAACACCAGTTGGGCAGTGGGTGGCTCAGGGCACTGGTGGGGCAGACCCCATCTTCCCCATCTGGGGAAACTTTCCATTTCCAGGCCGTTTTGTAGGTAATTGCACCCCAGGTTGAGCTAACGCTGGGGAGCACCGCACCGTGACACGCCACAGAGGCTTCTGATGCCTCGGGCTTGTACAGGGAGTGTTTTGGGGGAAGATGCTCAAAGACACCAGCCTGGTCCAGCATGCAGCTTGTCTCTGTGTCAGGTCAAATCCAAGCCCTGAATTTGAACCAGGGCTGAGAGCAAGGAGTGGAAATTTGGAGCCTGGGTCCAGCAGGAAGGCTTGCTGATGTTTATGGCTTTGGTGTTTTCAAGAGCAGCAAGGGGGGTTGGCAGACATTAGAGATCTTGTGTCCCTGCCCAGCTGGGGCAGCTCTCGAGGCTCTGCAGACCTTCCTGGGCCGGGTGTCCCAAGCACTGCTCCCCAAAGGGACATCCCACACAGCATGGATCCGTCCTGGGTACCACTGGGGCTGGGCTTGCAAAACTCCACAAGGCAGATGCAGTGTGGAGGCTGTGAGGAACATCCCCTAAGAGCTCTTTGCTGGCATTTCTGACCCCACTGTCATCCCCATTGCTCCATCACCCAGCCATGCCCACCCAGCTACCCCCAGAGCTTGACTATTTGTGACTATTAGATCAAAAATAGTCACAAGGACCTTCATATTCAATTTATCCTATAAAGCACAAAAATATTCCCCCTGCCCTGCATGTCCCCGTGGTCACAGGCTGGGGACAAGCTCTGTGCTGGAAGGCAGGTCAGTGCTGGCACTGAGGAGCTGGCTCCAGGGGCACCTCTGGGCTCAATATTTGCTCTCTGAAGCCTGAGCCAGCAGCAAAGCCTTCACCAGAGCTGCTCCGTGTGGACCCTCCATCTCAGGGTGCTGGTGGTCCAGCTGTGGCACCCAGCAGGGTCCATCCCCAGCGTTCCTCACCCACGCTTCCCAGAGGTGGCTGCGTTTCAGCAGCGTGTCTATAGCCCCCACTGCACTTGATGTCCCTGACAGATGAAAACTCCCATACAAACCCAGGCTATTATTATCTCCGTCTTCCACTGTGCTAATGGTCTCTCAGGAAACAGTCTTCTTTTTTTTTTTTTTTCTTTTTTTTTTTTTTTTTTAGCTTTTAAAACCCACAAATACCGGAGCAGTGGTAACAAGAAGCCAGGCACGGAGTAACGGAGCCCCAACCCCTCACCAAGCACAGGAGAGCCAGTGTCCCCCTAAACCAGTGGGGACAGGGAGCGGTGGCCGGGCAGGACCAGCCAAGGACCAGCCCCGGGGATTTCTGGTAGGTACAGACAAGGGCTGGGGAGGGCAATGGGCAACACTGGAGATACTGGGGATGGATGGTTGTGGCATGGGGCCACTGGGAAAACAGCATGATGAGGGGCAAGGGGGGGTCCCCCACCCGCTGTGCTTGGCTGGGAGGTGTATGGGGCTCTGTGGCATCAGGGAAGGGGTCCCTTTTCAGGCCCAGCTCTACTGCTTATTTTCTTCTGCTCACTCCACATTTTGGTGTTTTGGTGCTTTGCGCAGTGCCCTGGACCGCTCTGTCTGTTGGGTGGTGCTGGTGGTGCCAGCAGTGCCAGCAGCCTTGCCCCCATGGGCTGGAGGGCACCAGCCCCACAGCCAGGGTTTCTGCAGGTGCTGGGTACCACCAGGGTAACCACCCACCGGTTATTTGGGGTTAACAAGTGGCTCCTGCAAATCAGAAGCAAAGCAAAAGACACAAAGCGTGAGATTATATAAATGGAGCTGGAGGCAGCTGCGGCACAGCCTGTAATTAATTCGTGGCAGAGAAGTGCTTTGAAGATGCAGGGCGACGCGGATGCTGGGTGTAAGACAGCCCAAGGGGCAGCACCTGCTGGCAGCAGGGTCCTGCTCAGCCCCAGCTCTCCTGGGATGGTGTCCCTGCTCCTGCTGCAGGGATGCTGCGAGGGGAAGGGGGCAGTGATGGAGCTCAAGCACCCCACAAACCCGCTGGGTGCTGGGTTTCACCCCACAATGGCCCTGCAGAGGCCATCCTGCAGCCCCCATCCTCCCTCCCAAAATCAGGCAGGGGGCACAGCTCAGGAGCTGGGCCACCATCTGGCTTTGGCAGGAGTGCAGCAATGGAGGGGTCACGGTGGAAATTAGGGACAGGACAACACTTGCCATGGCCAGGAACACACTCAGGGCTGCAGAAACTTTACGTGTTAACAAAACTTTTGTGCTCCTCCAGTAAAAACAGAGATTACAGACCCCCCTGCTGCCAGAGCATCCTCACGCTGAACTGAGGCCAGGGCTTGGGCTTGCTTAATTTCAGGTTCATGCAATGCATTAAGCAAGGGCCAAACCACTGCTGGTTAAGCAAGAAACATTTAGAGTCAGAGAGTCCTGCCTGCTGGCGTGGCATCCCTCCTCACAGCCCCCGCAGCTGCACTGGGACCAACATAATGCCCTGGTGCAGGAAAATCCTGCTGCAGCCCTGGCTCACAGCTCCAGGTTCTCAGAGGCCCCGTTGCTAATTGCCTGGCTGAGGTTTATCCTTGTTATACAAGCGGTTCCCCACACGCTGTCATTAAGCTCATCTTACCCTCCTGCCTTCTCCGTCCCATCCCTGCCGGGAAGCAAAGGGAGAGGCACGAGCTGCCCGTCTGCTGGCAGCTCTGTGGCCCCAAGGACATCCTGAAATGGGCTGGAAGGCACTCAGCCCACGGTGATGGGGTCCCCAGGGGCACCTCGCTCCCGCTTGGTGGCTCATGGTGGTGCTGATGGAGAAACACAGAACAGATGATCACTGTTTTAGCAACTAAAGGTATTAGAAAGTGTACAAAGGAAAACAAAAAAACCCAAGGATATCAATTGTGATCCCACTAAAGCCAGCAGATATCTGGCTATTGTTAAGGGATGCATGTGGCATGGTCATTTTCATTCATTTTTTCTCCAAAGTACCAATAAGTCTATAAATGAATCTGATTTTCACTAAAAGTCCAAGCTTACGGAAAGTTTGAATGAAATGAGATAGAATGTGAACTTTGACAAAAAAAATGTAGGAAGAAACATCAAAGTGTTTCAATCAAAACCCATTTGAGGCTTGCTCTGTAACGCCAGTAACATCCCTTCTGTTGCAAAGGGCTTTTCCAATAGTTCATCAGAGTTAAACTCACTGGTCTTATCTGTGTCATTAAGATAAATATATTTTTAATCATTCAGCTTAGTGCCCTCAGATCTCTACTGCAGTTGAGAAAACATTTTGTTCAGTCATAGAAATCAGAACAAGATTTTGTGCCTCACCTCTGCAATCTGAAAGCTCACGGAAGCCTTCCCAAGTTTCCCTCACAATGCCTAGTGCGGCATTAACCTCCTGAGACGTTCTTGCTTGGAGAGAACTGTGGATAGAAAGGATGATTTCTTCAGGAGCAGTGTGGTCCAGTTTGGGGCTCGGTATTACAAAAGTAGAGCTTAAGAGGGGCGATTCATCTAGGCAGGACCGGGGCAGGGACACGCTGTGCCTTGAGGTGGCACAGAGCTGAACCTCTTCCTCCTGTTCCCTGGGCAGCTCCGGCACCGTCGGCAATGCGAGCGATGGCAGACCAGGCTGTGGTGGCAGCGGATGCCTCTCCGACCCTGGCACCATCCCCGGGCTCTCCTCGGTGTGGGGACACTGAGGGGCTACCTCCCCATCCCGCCGGCACCAGGGAAGACGGTGGCAGCCGGGATGGCTGCGGGCTTCTTTTTGCTGTGGATGGGGACATGAAGCCTCTCCCCTCACCCCAGGCTGGGGGGATGCTCCTGGCCGACCTCCCGCGGGTCCCCCAGCCCCGGCTGAGCCCGGCCAAATCCCGCACGGCCCCATCCTCCCCCAGCATCTCCCCGTCGGAGAGCCGTGCCACCCTGCTCCGGCTGCGGGATGCCAGGCTGGAGGACACCAAGAGGCGGCTGTCGGAGGCCGTGCAGGAGCCCCTCAGCCGGCTCAGCCGCCTCATGGCCGAGGAGAGCAGCCCCATACAGCGGGCGAAGGCGGGCACCGGGAGTCAGGAGACGGGGGGCAGCCCCAGGCAGGCGGGGGGCAGCGGGGCTGGGGGACGCCAGGTACGGGACTGGAGCCCCTGGGAGCCCACCCTGAACTGCCGCTACGAGATCTGCTCCTACGGGGACGTGATCCAGGTGGTGGAGGTGGCACGGAGGGAACTGCCACCCCCCGAGGAGCCACCCCCAGCACGGCCAGGGGGCACAGTGCCGGGCAGAGCCCTCGCCTCCATTGCCCTCCTCGCTTACGGCTACTTCATCCTGCCGCTGCCACCCTACGCCGCCGGCCTCTGCCTGGGGCTCCTCTGTGGGCTGGTGCTGGGCTTCCTCACCATCCTCCTCCTCCTGCCGAAGCCTCCGCCGGTGGCACGGGGACCACGGGGCCGCCTGTGCCCTGAGCTGCTGCCGGGGGAGCCATGGGAAACTCATCACCTCCAGGTAGGAGAAGGGAGGTGCGGGATGGGGTGCTGGGTGGCAGCTGGAAGGGAGCCCAGGGCTCGGGGTGCAGCACTGAGGGGGTGCCGAGCCCACGGCGGGTGCTGCCATCCCGTACGGCACAGTGGGAAGCAGCCGGCTCCATCTCCTCCCACCCAGGGCTGGATGAACCAGCTGCACGTCTACGACCCCGAGCTCTTCCACCCATCACTCACGCACTCGGTGCTGGCCACGCTGGATGGAGCCACCCTCAAGCTCTCCTACCAAGCCCATGGCGGGTGCTGCCATCCCGTACGGCACAGCGGGAAGCAGCAGGCTCCATCTTCTCCCACCCAGGGCTGGATGAACCAGCTGCACGTCTACGACCCCGAGCTCTTCCACCCATCACTCACGCACTCGGTGCTGGCCACGCTGGATGGAGCCACCCTCAAGCTCTCCTACCCCAAGAGCAACATCCCACGCCGAGCCACCTTCGAGGAGGAAATCCTGGATACCGTCTTCATCAGCCACCGCTACTACGACCTGACTGATGCCAAGGTGAGTCTGGCAATGCCAAGGAGGATTCCATGGGAGTGGGGAACTCTCACCCTCATGGGGCCCCCCAGTGCTGTGGCCTCACCACTGCTCCTGGTGTTGCAGGTCTTCCTCTGCCCCCCCAGCCTGGCCAGAAAGCGGACATGGAACAAGAAATACCCCATCTGTGTCCTCCTCCCTGACCCGGTGGACATGGAGTGCAGGAGCAGTGAGGAGCATGACGTGGAGCCACCAAGAGATGAAGGGATGAAGAAGTTGCTGGGCCAGGACGTCCCAGGGGATTGCAAGGAGAGATGCCTGTACCTCTTCGGGCGGACTGGGAGGGAGAAGGAGGAGTGGTACCAGCACCTCGTGCGAGCCTCCCGTGGGACCCCCAGCAGCAGCCACGGAGAAGCTAGGGCAGGTGAGAAGCAGCCATCGTGGCCTCTGCTCTGTGCTGGGACTGGTCTGGGGTGTCACCGCAAGTGCACTGTGGCACGTCACCACGTGTCCATCATGGCCAAACAACATGACACCTCTCATGCCATCCTGACCTGCTCATTTCCTCCTGTCCCCAGGCATTGGACCAGCTCCACGGAGCAGTGACAGCAGCAGCGCAGGGAGCGCTGAAGACATCCCCTCTGCCATCCCACCCAAGGACCTGGAGGGAAACGTCCAACAGATTTTCCTGGATTACAGCACCTACATGGCACGATTCATGCCGGCACAGGCTGGGGGCAGCCCAGACCGGAGCCCCTCTCACGGAGGACTGGGCAGCCCCACGCCCACCAAGGTGAGTGGGACAAATCCAGTGCTGGGAGTGGAACACGAGGCTAAATGGGAGCTGATGGACCCCGTGCGCAGCCACTTCCAGTCCTGTGGTTCATCTCCTCCCTCCCAGCACTGTGGTTTGAGCAGCCAATACATAGTGCAGGGGAGCACCCAGCCAGCGGGTCCTACCACTCATGGGGTCACCTCGCTCCAGGGGCTCGTGGCTTCTGTCCCTCCACAGCCTGGTGAGGACACGGCCAGGCGCAGCGAGGTGTGCATGGCCTGGATGAACGCACTGGTGGGGCGCATCTTCTGGGACTTCCTCCGGGAGCGATACTGGGCCGAGCAAGTGTCCAATAAGATCCAGAAGAAGCTGAGCAAGATCAAGGTGAGAGGCAGGAGCATCACAGCACCTGGAGGAGTCCCACCCAATCCCAGAGGCCCTATGGAGGGTGCCAGGCTGCGGTTACCATCCCCATGTGGTTTCCCTCCATCAGCTCCCATATTTCATGAATGAGCTGACGCTGACAGAGCTGGACATGGGCACATCCATCCCCTCAATCCTCAGTGCCTCCAACCCCACCATCAATGACCGAGGTAAGAGCCCTGCAGAGTGGCAGGGACCCCAGGGCTGGCTCCATGGCAGCTGTTATTGAGGTTCCAGCCTGGTCCCCAAAGCAGAGAGGTTTCAGCAGGCACGCGAGCAGCTCTCAGTCCCTGCGGTGCTGACAGGGGCTCACCCTGTCCCTCTCCCCGGCAGGGCTCTGGGTGGACATGGAGGTCACCTACAGCGGCTCGTTGCAGATGACGCTTGAGACGAAGATGAACCTCTGCAAGCTGGGGAAGGAGAGCGCTGCAGAGGAGAGCGGCCCGGCAGAGGCGGGCGGAGAGGGGTAAGGAGACTGCATGGCTGGGTTTCATCCTCTTCCTCCTCTTGCCTGAGCAAGGTGAGAGGGTGCTGGCCCCAGGGCACCCCCATGACGCTCCGTGGGGCTCGCAGGGCCAGGCCACGGCTGATCCTGCTGGCAGACAGCGACGCAGAGTCGTCCAGCGCCGGCTCCTCTGAGGAGGAAGACATCACCACTGCAGAGCCCGTGGGAGCCCTGGGGGAGCGGGTCCCCCCACCCGGCACTGAGGGGTAAGGGGCTGTTTGGGGACCATGCCATGGGGTGGATGGGGAGATGCTGGGGGAGGCACGGCACTACGTGCCATGGGGCTTGTTCCCCAGGGGTGGCACACACAGGTACCCGGCACATCGTGGCAGCCCTTCACAGGGGACTCCTGTCCCCGTGGGGTGCCCACAGCAGATGGTTGGGGGGTGCCAAAACCCAGCAAGGCTCTGGCTCTCACCCCACTGCGGAGCTGCGGCTCCCCTCGCTTTAGCCACGTCAGCGGTAACAGCACCAGCCGGAAGATCCTGCGCTTTGTGGATAAGATCGCCAAGTCCAAGTACTTCCAGAAGGCCACAGAAAATGAGTTCATCAAAAAGAAGATCGAGGAGGTTTCCAACACGCCGCTGCTGCTGACGGTGGAGGTGCAGGAGCTGGCAGGGACCTTGGCCGTGAACATCCCTCCGCCTCCAACGGACCGTGTCTGGTACCAGCTCTCCTTCCTCCCCTGCATCCTCCCTTCAGCTCCCCCTGCTCCCGGCGGCTCAGCCAAGGAGCCAGCTCTAGAGCTTCAGGAGATGATGCTTTCTGCCTCTTTCCCCTCACAGGTACAGCTTCCGAGTCCCACCCCAGCTGGAGCTGAAGGTGCGCCCAAAGCTGGGTGAGCGGGAGGTGACATTCCTCCACGTCACCGAGTGGATTGAGAAGAAGCTGCAGCATGAATTTCAGGTGCCTGTCACAAAGGTCTGGGTCCGTTAAAGGGCTCAGCAAACCCTGCTGAAGCACAGGCATTGCTGCCACCAGGAATAATCAGCCCTCAGTTTGGGCTAGGGCTGTCTCTACTAGGCATTGCTGCCATCAGGGATATATCAGCCCTCAGTTTGGGCTAGGGCTGTCTCTACAAAAAGCCAACATCTAACCTGGTCTGTCCAGCTTGGGACAGTCAAAAAACACGACCTGAGCGACCAGCTCCAAGCACTGGTGCTCTGAGCACTACATGGCTTGAGGAAAAGCAATTTCCTCCAAGTATGTGCAGCCCTGCCCCAAGCAGGGGGATCAGGAATGTCAGCAAGTCCCAGGCAGACACCCCCTAAGAAGGGCTGAATTCACCCATCCACTCTGGTTTGGGGATGTTTGGGAGATTTACCATCCATCACTAGGTACCCACTGGTTTGTTTTCTGCCTCTCACCTTTGAGACCTCTGGACAAAGAGCACAAATGTCTCCATAGATATTTAGGTACCCAAATCCCCTCAAAGAGCTGCCATTTGAATGGTTTCAAAGTGCTGGTCCCTGCCCTCGGCCATGACCACCCCTGAGGCCACCCACAGGTGGGCAGGGTGAAGAAAAACTACTCCTGATTCTCCCCACCTTGAGATATCCAGAGCTGGTAATCCTCTAGGACCAGGCACAGTCAGCTGCTGACGAGGGGATGGGAGCCTGGGACCTTCTGTTCACAGCTCCAGTCTGACTTAAGCTCCTGTGGCTCCTGCCAAGGCCACTTCCAGGCAGGTGTGTCACCAGTCGGGTAGTGGTATTGAAAACCACTTACTTTTTATTCTGGATTCCTCTTTTCAGAAAATTTTGGTGATGCCAAACATGGACGATCTCATCATTCCCATCATGAGCTCTGGCCTGGATCCTCAGCCACCCACTGGGGGACTGCCCAGGGACCTACCAGCCAAGGGGGAGAAGAGGCCTTGAAGCACAGCCCCACGGGGAGGGCAGAGACACTACACAGAGCTCAGGGACCTCACGGGGACACAGAGCCAACCAGGGCCTGGTCACTGACTGCACCCAGGGCTACGCCGTGGGGTCTGAGCTTCTCGGTTCATCTCATCCTCAGCACTTTTGTAGATGAGCCTCCTCCTTAAATACCGCAAGCACACGTTCAGAGCAGAACCAAACCCAGGGCAAGGGGTTTGCTGGAGACCCAAGAACTTCATGTATCTCCTACAAGGTTCCCAGGACTCCTGGTCAAGGGGGCGGACTGGGTTTCCCACTGTCTGGTCCCCAAAAAGAGGACACAGGACACTCAGACCTGTTCTGCACTGAAGGAGTTGTGATCACCACTGATCCAAGACATCACAGCTCCAAAAGGCATCACACCCTCCCCGCAGCTGGACTGCATGGAGAACATGGGTAGGAAATGAGTCCAAAATCCAAATAAAATCCATCACTGCCCAGTATTACCTCACACATCGTACACAAGTTCCCACATCTGCTGAGGATGCCGGCTGGGATCGTGGGGCTTTGTGCAGAGAGAAGTCCACGGGTCATACTTTCAGCTCAGCAAAAGGAGTGTCTGGGTGTGCACATGTGAGAGGTGGTCAATGAGACCGGGCAGGTAACAGGGAGACCCTGTATCCCCAGCAGAAACTGGGGCAGGAGTGCTGGTACCTGCTCTGCTCTCCTCTGAAAGAGAGGAAGGGGAGTCTTCACCGTGGTTTGGGTGGAAAAAATTCACTGAGCAAGGGAAAGGGAGGATCCAGCGGACAGAGCAGACTGTCCCAGTCCCATATGGGCCCACCCCAACTGCTACCTGTCCCATCCTCACCTGCTGAGGAGCCTCAAGGAGCCTCAAGGACACACTGCTGCCCACAGGCGGCACTGAATACAGATGAGACACCCCTCCAGAAGGAAGACAGGCAACAGGCATGGCTTGAAGCCTTTTTATTGAAGGTGCCTGGTTATGTAGCCTTGCATATCTCAGTCCTTACAGCTCTTCCTGCGCTCCTGGCTTCCCTTTCACCAGGTGTTTCTTCTGAGGGCCCTGGAAGAGAGCAAAGAGGAGAGATATCAGTGTTAGTGGCAGACAGACCTGGCCTACAAGGCTGCATGTGAGCTGCGTGGAAAAGAGCTGCATCTCTGCTCCCTTTCTCTTGTGCAAGGCTGCTCCTTCTCTCTGCTCCAGCTGGGAGCCCTGTGCCACCATTCACTGGCCACCCCCGGGGCCTCCCTAGCCCTGCAGGAGTCAGGAGTGGAACACGGTTGCCCTTGCACAAGGGGTTTGTTTCTCTGGACATCACAAAAGGAGCCAGAGAGTGGCAACGAGTGACTTGCTCCGAGCCAGTTGGGCTGGCCTGCAGTGAGCCCACAGTGGTGGAGCACTTCTGAGCTGCTGTAGGAGCCCTGGAGGAGGCAAGGCCTCCCACAGCCAAAGGCACAGATCCTCATCAGCCAACTCAACAGAGCTGGAGGGGTTTCCACCAGCAAAGAAAAGGGGTTATCCCAGACCAAATAAGTCCTACATGGCAAGAATTATTTATGTGTCTCTACTTCCAGCCAAATGTAAAGTTTTGCCACAGTGTACAGGGGGGGAAACTCTCACCCCACAGTAGAAAAGGACAAAGAAAACATCTGCAACCAGGTAGAACCACCTCCACGTCACAGCTACTGAGGACTTGCAGCGACAGCAAGAGCAGAACGCAGAGCAAGCTCCTAATGCTGAGATAAAGGAAAACATCTTAACCTCTAAAGAGCTCTGCAGAGACACCGCGCAGCCAATCCCCCCTCCCAGGGCTCAGGAGGCTTAGCCAGTTTCACATGGGATTTCTAGCTGACAGGCCAGATCCAGACACGTCCGCGTGGTATCCAGAGAGTTGTTTTCTTTCATTTCTGCTGGCTGAAGGCCTGGCTTACTTAACGCTTCCTCAATTTCACATTCAGACTTGTGCACCAGCCTGGTGTAGGTTGCAAAACTATTCAGGAAACTCTGCTTGTTTTGGATTTATTTAATTTTTTTTTTTTTTTGGCCCTAGGTTTAAGAAAAATACACTGCTCGGCCTTTCTGAAAGCTTCCTGACAAAAGAATCACAAATTTGTGACTGAATTTGACCCAACCTTTTCCTCTTAAGAACATTAAAGTTATAAATCATTCCAAACAAATCAAAGAAGTGCACAATTATGGGTGAAAGGGACCATATGTCCAAGGCAGTGCCTGCCAAGTTAACTGCTTGTTTAAAACATCCTGTGGTGAATGGAAACTGGTTGGCCATATGGTATATTATTTGTTAGTTGGGTTGTCTTGGATCACTTGCGCAACCATCATGTTCTTCCTTAGCGTAATATCTGCTTGTATGAATTGAATTCATGCCTGTCTTTTATGCAAGACAGTCCTGATCACTCATTTGGCTGTTGTTATATCGAGAAGCAGATGTTTAGTTGGAGTCAATCAGTTGCTTCAACCCCAGCTGCAAGCACAGCCCAGGAGCTGGAGCCGGCGCGGAGCGTAACTCACCATGAAAGCCCGCTTCTCCTGAGCTGTCTGGAAGCGGCCATGGCCAAACTTGGAAGTAGTATCAATGAATTTGAGTTCAATGGCTTCCTGAGACCGGCGGCTTGTGTGCACCAGAAGGGACTGGAAAAGAGGAGTTACAATGCATCAGGCTTATCTTTACAGCAAATCCGGATATCTGCTCTGACGGAAGCAGGGTTGAAATACCCTACGTGCATCCATTAGAAAACAGCTCCATGAAAATCCGCCTTCCCAGAGAAACACCCAGGTGGCAGGTGATGCCTTGGATTGCAGAGCAGCTCTGAAATGAGCCTGCTCTTCACTCAGCGTTTCATTTCCTCACAATCTGCTTATGACCAAGGTTCCCCATCACAGCCACATGGGCTTCCAGCTCCTGTCTCCAGAGAGAGTACACTTGACCGTACACTCCCACAAACCACCTGACTGGGAATGGTCTCACTGAGCACCTTGCTCATGTGCTATGTGCCCTCTGCAACCCCACCAGTCTCCCTGACCAACATTTGGAGGCAGTGGCGTTCTCCACGTGATGAATCTCTTTGTGGAGAGCTACAGCCCATCCCTCCCCAGGGCCACTCTCACCTTGCGGAGGGTGAGCACACGCTTCTTCGTGCCCACGACGCAGCCTTTCAGCATGAGGAAGTCATTGTTGACCTCCCCATAGTGAGGAAAGCCACCCTGTGGAGAGAGGCAGAGAGAGGGTTGGCAGGTAGGAGAGCTGGATGGGAGCAGACATGCCCACAGGTGGCTTTTTCTAGGCAAGGAAAAGGCAGTGACTGATTGTCCTTCCAGCTAACAACACTCTGCACCCTTCAGGTTGCCTGCTCAGGACCACCAGAGCACGTCAGCCACACTGACAGCGTCATCCCAGCTAAGGAACAACCCTCAAGAGCTGGGGAACCAGCAACCCTCCTTCCTACCTCGAAGGATGCAGGTGAACAGCAAGCAGAACTGGCTAGACTCCCACGTTAGCAGTTTTTAATATGCAAAAGTGAATTTTTAAACCAAGTAACTAACATTCATCTGTTAAGTATCAGATTTTTAATGTCACGTATAGTTCCTCTTCTTTTTAAACAAAGTTGTTGGTTTCTGCCCAGGTTACCAGCTGAAAATTAAACGTTGGAGTAAACCAATGGGCCTAAAAAAACACGACACAGATGGTTTTCCATGTCCAGAACACGAAAAGAATCACTGCATTTATTACAGTTAATTTCCTCCAAATAATTTCCTATGCAGTGATCTCCAGCCAAGGAATTACTTCCCTGGCTCAGGTCCCTGTAGCCAGGGGGCAGTCACAGCCCTGTTACCCCCTCAGCCCTCACCAAAGGCGTAATGGTCTTCTCCGTGACATCGTAGTTCGTGGAGGCATTGTTCTTCACCACTTTGCCATCCTCCACGTGGATCCCACGGCCAATGCGGTAAATCTAGGAAAGGGAAGGAAATTGAGATGGCAACTTTTCCACCCCCTTAGTGAGGGACGTCACAGGGACAACACGTTATCTACCAAGATGTGCCCCCCTGTGATGTGTTCCTTGAGCAGGAAAAAAGCACCAGGAAAGACAAGGAGAACAACAGCACTGCAGATCTCTAGGGAAACATCTGAGAAGCTGGGGGCAAGAGAAGCCACCGTGCAAAGAAGGATGATGCCAGCATGAAGGAAGGCAGGCAGGAAGGTGCAGTGGTGCTCTGAGGGCCATACCTTCTTGTTGAGCTCCGTGCGGTGGTGGTAGCCCTTCTGGCCAGCCCGAGCAATGGAGTAGCCAACCCGGGCTGGGTGCCAGGCTCCGATGCAGGCAACTTTGCGCAAGCCCTTGTGCGTCTTCCTGGGGAGCTTCTTGGTGTGCCAACGGCTTGTCACCCCTGGAAGTGTGACCAGACAGAGCAGTGAGAACACCAGGAAGATTCAGGGCTGATGTTTGTTTGAGTGCTGGGGAAGGGGGAGTCTCATCACTCTTCTTGCAGTTCTTGGAAGACACCACGTTGGAAGGAAACCAAGAGCTGTCACCACCATGAGGGGCCAGAGCACAGAATTGTTCTCACTTCCCATGGATCTGATCAGACTGTGATATGTTCCTGCTGAGCACATCCACGCGCACGCACAGGAACACCCACACCTCCACACACGTGGGGTTTGTGAGAAGTGCAATGGCTTAACGTACTCACAGTGCCTCTGAGCCTCCTGGGAAGACTTTGGGCACAGCAGAAAACGTGGCCTTTACTGAGATTAAAGAAACCAAACTCTGCTACAATGGAACTGCATAATTGAGGTCCAGAGGCTCTTTGCTACTCCCTGTGCAATAAGTTGGTGCTTTCTCAGCATGGCTAATGCTCCCCTCGCCCAGAAGTACATTAGGGGCAGTGCCATAAGAGAAAAACAGAACTAAGTCCCCGGCAAGGGTCTCCCTGCTCTGTACCTTTCATCCCATGCCCCTTGGTCACGCCAATGACATCAATCATCTCGTTCTGGCTGAAAACGTTATGCACGGAAACCTGCTTCTCCAGCCTCTCACGAACCCAGTCAACCTTCTCAGCCACCGTCCCACCATTCAGCTGGATCTCCATCACGTGGGCCTTCTTCTGCCGCAGTGGGAGCAGCTTCATCTGCATTAGACAGTGCATTAGGGCAAAATGTTGTCCCTCGCCTCTCATGCATGAACATGAAGGAAGGGCTGCATAACTCACCACTTCTGGGGGGCACAGGAGGTGAGCAGGGCCAGCTCTTCACCACCCCTTCCTGCCACACTGTCAATCCCTTTCATAACAGCCAGCGACCTGGGTCAGCAGACCTACACACCTCTTGGACCCAGCTCCTTGTCCTTGAGCTCAGCCACCCCAGTGCCATTCAAGGCACATTCAAGTGTCACTCCACCCATTCAAGGCAGGAGCCAATGCACAGCCTCTCCCCAGGGAGCACAGGAGCAGGCCAGCCTCGTCCTACCCCAAGAGTTAAGCACAGTAGTAACAACCATGGAAAATGCCCCAGAGGAGCCCATCACCAGAGCACCATCTGAGGCTGAACACTGCCATCAGCCAGGATGTAGCTCTGTGCTCTGAGACAGTCAGCACCTCTCTTTTGGTCATGTTCCACCTCTGCATCCAGACCGAGCAGTTATTTCTAGTTCCCACCAAGAGGTGCTGCCACTCTCTCCCAGTCCCAGATCCCTGTGTAAAGCCCCTGCCAAATCACCACAGCGGGACTGTCAGGGTCTCTGCCAGCCACAAGTGAAACCTTCAGCCAGCTTAGCTCTCCAAAGTAGCCATTAACTCCAGGGATCAGTATGGAAATGGGCCCTGTGTATCCAGCAATCAGCATCTGGCAAAACTCTGCCTGCCCATGGGTTATTTTTGCCCAAACATTCGACACCAGTTGCTAATTTGAGGTGATCATGGGGCCTAAGATCCCTTGCTGACACCGGGCTCACCACCTGCTGAGGCTCTGCACAAAGTCTGCTCTCCTCCACGGGGAGTGTGGGCTCCCCAGAGCACCAGAGCCACAGCCCCTCTGGCAATCCCCCCGCAGGGGACAGTGTTGGTGTCAGGAGGCAGCTGGAAAGGTCAGCCAGCATCTCCCATCTCCTGCATGCCCTGTCCCACACCCTCTGACCGACATCTGCCTGCTCAGCCTTCTGTGACCCCACCAAGACACCCCTGTCATCCCAGCTCCCAGCCCCTCACCTTGCCCCCCAGCTGAGGAAGACCCTGAGCCCCCCTGGCCCACCCCCCGGGGGGAGGCTCTGACCTGCGTGTGTGCAATGACACGAATGACCTTGCAGTACTTTTTCATAGCTGTAAAATCCTTCTCCAGCTGCTTTTTGCCGTCCTCATCCTGCCATTTCTTGCAGTACTTGGTGAACGCCTTCTTTTTGCTCTTGTGCCTACAAGAGAAGTGTTTCTCATCCAGCAGAGCTGAATGGTTAAGTGTTCCTGCACATCGCTGTGCCCCGAGACAGTGCAGCGTGGGGGGACCCATCACCCCGCCAGACACTTCCCGGGTACCCAAACCCCTCCCTGGCTGCCGAGGCCGTGACACAGGGCTTTGAGGTGAGAAGAGTGAATAATGAGCTGTGAAAAGGGCTGGTAATTCAAACCTTTTTGCAGGAGGAATCCAGTTGTCTCCCACTGACTGGCTCAGCGCCATCAAAATACAAGCGCAAAATCAGAGCTAAGTGGAGAAAGGAGAAAACAGGCTCCGACAGGGATCAGAGGCATGTGGTGGGTGGATCTCAACAGCACTTTTACAGGAGACACGATTCCTACAGTTATGAAATTCATGTTTCCATTTTCCTCTCCACTGGTGTGGGATTTGGGGTGTTGAAGTTTACAAGGGCCAGGGTTCACATTCTGCATCAATTTTTCCCCTGACAGACCTGATTTTACTCCCCTCGTTCGCTGCCTCAGCTCAAGTATTCCAGCTTAATGGGGAGTAGATGGGCCCAACCTACACGAAGGAAAACAAACCCGCAGCACACGCTGCCATATGATATTGTGGAGACAGCTAACTTAGTTCAACTATTAGAATAAATTTACATATGCGTATGCTGATTCCCAGCACCAAGCTGTTTGCAGTATCTCTGTGCATGACTAAATAAATAGCAGTTTCACTCCACCTCAGGGCCAGCTGCCAGTAGCTGAGCTGTTTGCTGTGGCTGGGCATCAGAGAGAGTCTGCAGGGAAGACTTGTGAGGGACTCCCCACTTGCAGTGCCCCAGGGACCCTCCCCAGCCACGGAGGCACGTACCAGTTTTTGTAGAAGCGCCGTCTGCATTCATCGCTGATGTGCTCAGCAAAAACAGTCTTGAAATTCCTCAAGCCCTTTGGTGTTTGTATGTACCCCACAACTCCCACCACTACCATTGGTGGGGTCTCAATGATGGTCACGGCCTCCACCTCTTCTCTTTTGGAGATCTCTGCGAGACAGCAAAGGGAAATGGTGGTCAGCATCATCTGGGATGGGATCATTCCCTGGAGCCATTTGTGGC